TCATTACACACAACCTAAGATTGAAGGAGAGACTCTTTAATTATCTGCCACCTTCTGCTGCCAGTGACATTGCACCCACTCTGCTGGTATAGCTGGCCAATATGTTTTATATTTGGGGTGATAAATCAGTCTGTGAACAATGGTGAGATGCTAACGATGTCATCTCTGCCTGAAGAAAATAATAAAAGCCTCCACTACAAGGTTCCAGTTGGCTTTAGTGAACCTACAAAGGGAGGGTGGCTATGTAAGTCATGGAAACGTACTCTTTCAGAAAAATACCCTCCCCCATAAGAAACAGAATCGATTAATCTGGAGATCTGAACCATTCATAAGATTTGAAAGTGCTTAGGAAGAAAATAATCTCAGGTCTAAAAAAATATTGCAGTTTTTATCAATGGCAGGGATGTCAATAGGGATGTAGTAGGTAATTGATACAAAGGAAGCCTACATGTTCCTCCAAGTTTTTTATGAGATTCCACACTCCCAGAAGATGTTGTTCCTTTGGTGAAAGACTCCAAGACACTATAGCATACACCTTGTGTTTATTTCTACAATAAGCTGTATTAATTTTATGCTTTTCATTTTGTACAGTGCTTTGGACTATTCTTGCTATTTTTTGTTAGCTACCAATGTATCTTACATTTTTAGCACTCCCTGAGTTGGATGTTTGTTACTTTTTAAAAAGAAAAACCCACTGTGCTAGGCATGTGTACGTACTAGAATCTTATTTTAAAAAACAAGACATTGAAGTCTTCCATGTGACCGCAGTGCATGAGAAGGTGAAGAACTGATTTATTCTGTTAACTGTGTGTCTTAAGTCATGTAATTCCTCCTTATCAGCATCACATTCTTTAAGCCAATTAATGGTCTTATTCCTAATATTATGCCTTGTTTATCATTAGATCTTAACTAAAGGGAAGATACTGAGGGCTGGGAGGCAGCCGAGGCTAGCTGGACAGAATCTGGTCATCATGTCTCTGCGCATCACCCCAAATCTCATGCCTTCCTTCCGTATTGTGGCTTATTACCAAGTGGGGAACAATGAGATTGTGGCCGACTCTGTCTGGGTGGATGTGAAGGACACCTGTATGGGAACGGTAGGTCAGGCTTTCTGCTGATTTACTTGGCAATGTCAGTGCATGGCACCCTCTTACAGATGCTGCAGTGGGGAACTCTGTACTTGCTTTTCCCCGGACAGTTCCTGTGTCTTCACTTGGGCACTGTTAATTAAGGCGTATTCTGTTCTTTGACTTTGAAAGAGAGAAGCATGCAGGAGAGATCAGAGTCATATTCACAGTCTTATCTAAGACCCTGTGATAGGAAAACAGCAGGTTTTCAATTTTTTCTGTCACAAAACTGAACCTCTTGGTTGCCTTTGTTCAAACAGCTGATTGTAAAAGGAGCAACTGAGGCTGACAATCAAATTCACCAGCCAGGAGCTCAAATGAAAATCAAAGTGGAAGGAGATCCGAATGCTCGGGTCGGTCTTGTGGCTGTGGACAAAAGGCTTTACGTCTTATACAAAAAGTACAAGCTTACCCAAAGTAAGGTAAGGCAGGAAATTCCTTGGATATGGGACACCAAACTCAGATGTTTTTTCATCTTGAACTTTGCTGAATTTATGCACTATTTTCCCCAAGGCTTGTGTTTATTCTGTTGCAGATCTGGGACACAGTAGAAAAGAGTGATATTGGCTGTACAGCTGGCAGTGGCGTGAACAATCTGGGTGTGTTTGAAGATGCTGGCCTTACCCTGGAGACCAGTAATAAGCTCTCCACAAAACAAAGATCAGGTATGATGAGATCCATGATCTGACAAAGGATTTGCAGTGTGAAAAGTGTCCTTCATCTGACAGACAGTGGTCTGTTGCCTGCAATACTAAGGATCTGAAAAGTATGCCCTAAGATCTTGGACAGAGGATGCTGAGATGGAGGATCTGGTAATGACATGTTAATATCTCAGTTCCATCCACAACATGGTTTGCAAAGACATGCCACAAGCCCAGAAGGTTGGAATTTCTCAGGAAAAGAAGCATCAGGAATTGGAATGGAGCAATGTTGGGTTAAACATGTTCTCTCACATTTAATCATTCCTCTGTCTCACATTACATCGTCCGTACACTTTTTTGCATCGAAATGGTGGTTGTGTATGTTAGTATGTATATCTCTGACACATTGTTGAACCTTAAGGCCGCAGCTCTGTTCTCACTGCCATGGAAGTAAGCCCCATTCTGTTCTGAGAAAATATGCGTAGAATCAGCGTTAGAATTTAGCCCTGTCTTCTTTGTTCCTCTCTCTCTTGTTACTCCCAGATGCCAAATGCCCTGAAGCTGCAAGACGGAGACGTCGTCGTTCTGTACAATTCATTCAGTCAAAGGCAAGCGAAGGTATGTGAATAACGTGAATAGCTTCCAGTTCTCTTAAAGGGATCAGGACATTTGGGTAATTTCTGATGGAACACAATTGGGAAATGGGCAGGAGAGTGGTCAAAGAGTGAACACTTGGCAAGGAGGTAGAAAGACTTTTGTGCGGAGAGCCATTGTCAATCAGAGTAGTTCTTCTTCATGGTCTCTGTGGATGACACAATTGGGTTTGCGCCTGCATAGAGCCACATTTAGAGCTCTGCATGGATGTAGTCCTGTTTATCATCTCCACCGTGTTTGTCCTGTCCCACCCTTCCTTCTCATCCACCTGAGTGTTAACATAAAAGGAATGGTCACTGAGCAGTTGAGCTAGTTTTCGCCTTTCTTTTTTTCCAACTATTCCTTCCCTCTTATAGTCGAGCTTCTTTCGGTCGTTGTTTCGTTGGTTAGTGTTGTTCTTCCCATTTGTCGTACATCAGTGTCTTAATCTCTGTCCTTGTCCTTGTCTTCCCCTCCACAGTGCGGAGGTCCTTGCCCGACTGCATGGCCTCTGAGGCTTTGTTTAAAAAGTGGCCCATTTGCAGAGGCCGCATCGCACCTACCAACCAGTGTCCTTGTGGCCTTTTTTTGTCTTGGAGAAGCCCACTTGTCCCAACCTTGCAATACCTGTAAGGGCTTCATGAAATGGGGCCCTCGCATCTGGAAATCTAAACTTTGGGTTTTCTTTTGGGAGTTGTCTCTGAAGGCAGCAGAGGAAGCGGCACAGAACCAAACTCTACATAGTGTCAGATCCTCCCAAAGAGAACATCCAGCAAATATATATCCACCAAACATAATAAAAGTCTCCTTCTGTGTTTTACGTTTCCCACAATATTTAAAAACATTTTTATAATTTTTAAAAAAACTTTAGCATTGTGTACCATCAGTAAATCATACATCATCTATAAAATGTATCTCCATTTTCTTTAATAGTTACTGATTTTTAAACATTAATGTTTTTCTACCATTTTATGCCCATTATATTGTACAGTCTTTAACCATTTTATTCATTTAATCCATTTTTATTTTTGAGGCTTTCTTTCCTCCTCCTGGATCCTCTTGTTTCTATAGTGCACTTTCCTTTAGGGCTTCTTGCTTGCTTTTCTGCTCTAGTCAAGCTTCTTCCTTCCTCTGATCCTGATGGTCCGCTTGATTTCTCCTTGTTTCTCATCTGCTTTTTTCTCCTTTTCCCCCGTGCCCAGCCATTTCTCCTTTTTTTTTCATAAAATCTTCTGCCTTTAGTTTTGAGTTAATATAATAACTCTGTTCCTGGAATTCAAAGAGGACATCTTCAGGTACTAACCACTTATACATAATGGAGTTTGTTCTCAAGAGGGATGTCAACTCCTCGTATTGTTTCCTTTTCTGTCTTATTTGTGAAGGAATATGTTTCAAGATCTTAGTTTCTTTGTCTTTTCTATTAGGTTCCTTGCCTTGTATGTTTCTTAGGACTTTTATCTCAAAAGATCATTCTCATAAATTTAACATGAATTTCTCTGGGGAGATTTTTATTCCTAATATATGCTGTATTAATTCTTCGTCTATATTTTGTTGGTCATCCTCAGGTTGCATCTCCATGGGCAATGCCAGGTTAAGTAGTAATCACTTGTGCTGTGTCTTCTTTTTGTTCTGGTAGATTCTGGAATCTAAATATGGCATTGGCTCTTTCTATTTGTAGATTTTAACAGAGTAATTTCAACTTGCTTGCTTTCCTATTTTCGCTCTCCCATCTCTGTATACAGGTTCTCAAGTCTTGTTTCTTTTCTTTTTGATGTCCCATCTATTCTGGTCATTTGTTTTTTATTTCCTTTAATTTGATTTTTAATACCAGTCATTTGCATCCCTAAATCTTTCATTTGTACTCATAGCTGAGTCATCCCTCCTTGTAGTTGCTGTAGCCCTGTTGATAACATCTCTTGAATACTCTGTTGCCAGTCCTTAAATGATTGCCTTAATATCCCACTGAGATTCTGTTTCTGTGCCGGTGAGCCTCTTTGAGTTCTCTCTTTTCCACCTTTTGTGGTCATATTGATTCCCCCCCTTCTTCCTAAGTTAGTAAGGGATGCTGTTTAAGTCTTTTGTCAGCAGATGTTGCTGTAAACTTAGTTTTCTTTCTCAGTCTTTTTTTACATGTCTGATCCAAGAGGGGGATGGAGCTTCCCTCTGGGTAAAAAGTTCTCATAATCATCAAGTCACAACAATAAAAATTTAAAAGATCTGCAGTGCTTTGAAGTAAATAGGATTTGATAGCAATATTTCACATAGTCACAGGAGTGAGGCTTTTATCTTAGATTGCTCTACTTTCATGACAAGGTAATATTCTCCCCCTTCTCCCTTTATCTCTTCTCTCCCCTTCTTCTCCGATCCAAGCTGGGGGAGGCTTGCTTCTACCGTAAGATTTTTTAAAATGGCAAAGTACATTTTGCTGACTCTTTATGTCTCTCTCTTTTCTGTGTAGTTACTTGGGTCCATGGAGATTTTCCTTACATAAACAGATATTTAACTTACTCAGAGTCTCTGGTTGAGATATTTTGACCATCCCTTTGTGCTCTCTCTCTCTCTGCTTGGGTTGTTCCCAGATCTTTGACAAGAGGGGTCCTTCCTTGGTCTGTACACTCAGAGGCGACTTTGGAGGGGGAACCAGCCTTTATGGATCCCATTCCCCCCTTTAATCATTTTTGATGGTTCAGACACCGCTTCTCCTAGCAGATCGTCCTTCCCCCCCGCCCCGGTTTTGAGGGTCTGAAACTGAGGGGTCCCAGTCAGTTTCCTGAAACCTGACCAGTTCTCATTGCGATGAACCCCCACCCCCTGTGTCAGCCAAGATTTCTGGTATGGTATTTAACAACAAAAATAATGATAGTATATTAAAAACTTACAAGAAGTCAATGTTTGTATATTCCTTGAAGCTGGCTAGGATATGGGCTAGTCAATATTTCATTCACAGAGACTTTCTGTATATATCGGTTCTCCTCTGTTTCCTGCTATGATTAATATGCAAGAATAGTTTTCTGAAATTTTATTCCGCTTTCATGTTCTAGTGGCTGAATGTCAGGATCACCAGCTAAGAAGGTGCTGTGAAGATGGCATGCATGAAAATCCCATGGGGCATGCATTTGTGAAAAGGATGCTGAATACATTGAGGATCATATGGGTGCTGGGTTGTCTGTTTTGAATGTTGCTGCTACATCAGGGGTGGGCAATTAATTTCTGTAGGGGTGCCACATGAAAAATCTGAACTGTGTTTGGGGGCCGAACCAGCTTTACTTAAACATAAAATGAAACAGTGATGTTATGATTGTTTTTATTTTAAACTTGCTAATCTTCACAAATACTAAAGAGGTTTTTTTGCAGTATGTTAAAGATAAGCAACTGATCAACTTTAGACAAAAAGCTATAAATGGTTTTGATGTTCAAAATTGTTCGCGGGCCGGACAGGAGTGGCTTGTGGGCCGTATGTGGCCCTTAGGCCACACTTTGCCCAGGTCTGTGCTACATCAAAGGCATATGGGATGTGAATAAATGAGAGTCTGAGCTTGTCTTGGCCAGAAGCAAGTAGATTTGTTTGTTGTTTGTTTGTTTGCTTGTTTCTGTTCTTTCTTTATATAACTCTTTGGAATGCATGACCATTATCAATCTGAGTGCATTTGTTTTCCTCATAAGGAGAAACTTCACAGAAATTGAGCTTTGGGTCACTTTCCCAATCTCCTCAAATCACAGTAATAAATTAATTCCATGTTAGTCTGTCTTCCATTTTTCCAGGTGCCTTTGATGATGAATTCTTACCTGATGAAGTGATTAGCACCAGTACGGAGTTTCCAGAGAGCTGGCTGTGGGAAACAAAAGTGCTGACGGACGCCCCTAATGATCAAGGGTATACATAAGGCTTCTGCCGTCTCTGCTCTCCATTGCTCTGTTTTACATTCTGAAAGAAAACTTGCCTGTTCCACAGAACACACAGGAATGTGGAATCAGTCTTTATGTATGTATGTATTTATGTATGTATATATTTGTTTGTTTGTTTGTTTATAGACAACTTTTCTCCTGTTAAGGGTGGCTTACAGTATTGAAAGGAATAGAATTAAAAAGAGAATAAATTATACATTAAAACAATGTAAGTTTAATAGTAACTAAAAGCACAAAATGTTAAAAAGTATCTTAACTAAAAATGGCATTCAGGTCATGACTGTTAAAAGCCTGCCTGAAATGGTAGGTCTTCAACTGTCGGTGGAAGGATAAAAGCGGGGGGGGGGAGGGCAACCTGATCTCCTGAGGGAAAACATTCAAGAAACAGCCACAGAGAAGGCCCTGTCTCATGTCTTCAACAGCTGTGCCTATGCTGGCAATGCAGCCAAGAGGAGGGCTGTGGCGATCCCCCTGGTTACCCCTTTATTTCCTTTGCGCTCCACAAAGGTAAACACGCCTTTTTCCTTCGTTTCGCTGCCACCAGGTATTTCTCCCAATACCACTACAATTCCCACACACAGGAGCTGCTCATATAACTTAGGAATCCAGGGTTTGACCAAATATTCTTTTATTAATGAACAAAATCATCAGGAGAATCAAATATATAACTGTGTCAGGTGTGCATATATTAGATCATGTATTCAATCACTGGTATTTCTCATGTTATGCTTATGTGTTCATTCCTGCTTGTTCAATATATTTTACTCTTTCAATTTCCTTTCTTAACCCTCTTTCCACATCTTGTGGTCCCTAACTCTCCCTCTCTCTCCCTGATTCCAACTGTCTCCCTAACTGTCTCTTCCAGCTGTCTTAACTGTCCTTTTTTCTCTGCCTCTCCTGCTGTACCCTCTGATTGACAGGCAGGGATGCATCATCTTTTGGGTTCCGCTACATACCTCCCCCCTTAGCAAGTTTGTTCCATGGAGTAAATCTATAGTGGTTTGCTCCATGAACAACATAGAAGCAGTTTAATATTTCCACCAACTTATAACAACAACATTTTGCATTAATCGTCGTCGTTTAGTCGTTTAGTCGTGTCCGACTCTTCGTGACCCCATGGACCAGAGCACGCCAGGCCCTCCTATCTTCTACTGCCTCCCGGAGTTGTGTCAAATTCATGTTGGTTGCTTCGCAGACACTGTCCAGCCATCTCATCCTCGGTCGTCCCCTTCTCCTCTTGCCATCACACTTTCCCAACATCAGGGTCTTTTCCAGGGAGTCTTTTCTTCTCATTAGATGGCCAAAGTACTGGAGCCTCAGCTTCAGGATCTGTCCTTCCAGTGAGCACTCAGGGTTGATTTCCTTTAGAACTGATAGGTTTGTTCTCCTTGCAGTCCAGAGGATTCTCAAGAGCCTCCTCCAGCACCACAATTCAAAGGCATCAATTCTTCGGCGGTCTGCTTTCTTTATGGTCCAGCTCTCACTTCCATACATCACAACAGGAAAAACCATAGCTTTGACTATTCGGACTTTTGTCGGCAAGGTGATGTCTCTGCTTTTCAAGATGCTGTCCAGATTTGTCATCGCTTTCCTCCCAAGAAGAAGGCGCCTTTTAATTTCAGGGCTGCTGTCTCCATCTGCAGTGATCATGGAGCCCAGGAAGATAAAATTTGACACTGCCTCCATATCTTCCCCTTCTATTTCCCAGGAGGTGATGGGACCAGTGGCCATGATCTTAGTTTTTTTGATGTTGAGTTTCAGACCATTTTTTGCACTCTCCTCTTTCACTCTCATTACAAGGTTCTTCAATTCCTCCTCACTTTCTGCCATCAGAGTGGTATCATCTGCATATCGGAGGTTGTTGATATTTCTTCCGGCAATCTTAATTCCGGCTTGGGTTTCTTCCAGTCCAGCCTTCCGCATGATGTATTCTGCATATAAGTTAAATAAGCTGGGGGACAATATACAGCCTTGCCGTACTCCTTTCCCAATTTTGAACCACTCAGTTGTTCCATGACCAGTTCTAACTGTTGCTTCCTGTCCCACATATAGGTTTCTCAGGAGACAGATAAAGTGGTCAGGCACTCCCATTTCTTTAAGAACTTGCCATAGTCTGCTGTATTTATACCCCGCCTATCTAGTCATTTCGACCACTCTAGGCAGCTTTCCCAACTCCCAACTTTTCCAAACTCCCGATAGCATTGAAAATGAAAAAAGAAGAAAAAAAAAAACACAGCCCGTCAACCATTTCTGGGCCCGAGCATGTATTCAGTTCCAACTATGTTTTGCATGGTCTCTTGGTTGATCTCGCAGCGCTTCTGATAATGTATCTAGTTCTATAATGTCCAACAGCTTCTTCAGGAGCTCCTCCATTATAGGCGTGTCTTCACGTTTCCATTTTTGGGCCCAGAATGACCTAGCTGCTATCAATATATACATCAAACAATATTTGATTTTCTCATCAGTAATTTCCGGCATAATGTTTAATAATGCTATTTCATGTTTAAGGTTTAATTTCTTTTGAATAATTCCTTTTATCATTTCCCACAACTGTAACCAATAAACCCTGGCTTTTTCACATGACCACCACATATGATAATAGGCTCCTACTTTTTTTTACTTTTCAAACAGATATTACTGCTACCTTCTGACATTTTTGCCAGTTTTATAGGAGTATAATGCCATCTATAAAACATTTTGAGGATATTTTCTCTTAAATTTACTGGCTTAATCATTTTGTAACAGTCTTTCCACATTATCGTCCAGTGATCAATGTCAATATTATAACTGAAATCCCTTGCCCATTTTATCATTGTCTCCTTTACCCTCTCATCCTCCAGTTCATATTCCAATAAGTATGTATACATTTTCTTTATTATTTTCTCATTAGTATAGATCCAGAGTTTATCTACCTGTACTTCACTTTCAAAAATGCCCAAATTCCTATCTTTTCTATATCTTTATTCTAATTTATTCAGTAACCACCAGTCTGTTGCCACTCCTAGTTCCTCTAATTCTTGCTTTTTATATTTTGTTCTTTGTTAAGTAGTTCTTTGTACGTTACCATTACCATCATCCCTTTCTGATTCAACACTTTCATTGGGAAGGCTTCTATGGGGGCTACCCATAATGGGGTTTTCTTATATGTTTGTGCTCGGAATTTATACCACACTAGACCCAATGCTTTCCTTACAATATGTTCCGTAAAGCATGATTGTTCCTTATATTTCCCATACCACACATATGCATGCCAACCCATGCTTAGGTCATACCCTTCTAGTTTCGGTAATCTCTGGTTTGCCAGGGTTATCCATTCTTTTATCTATGTCATTGCACACGCCTTATAATATAATAGCCAGTTTGGAAGTCCTACACATCCCCCTTTCTTTCAAGTCCTGTAAAAGCTTAAGTTTTATTCTTGGTTTCTTAGTCCTCCATATAAATTTAGTTATCAGGCGATCCAGTTCTTTAAAATATTTAAAGTTCAATAATATTGGTAGATTTTGGAAAAGAAATAGTGGTTTAGGCAAAATCATCATCTTTATCGTTGCAATTCTTCCCATCGATAGTTAAAGCTTACTCCAATCTTCCAGGTTCTTCTGAATTTCCTTCTGTATTTTGAGGTAATTCTCTTTCATTAAGTTGCTGGGTTTTTTGGTGATGATGACTCCTAAATATTTAATTTTTTGTACTACTTCAAACTTGATTTATCTCAGCAATTTTCCAGCTTCTTCTTTCTTTATATTTTTAATCATAACATTTGTTTTTTGATAATTAATTTGGAGACCTGCCACTTGCCCATACTCCTCTATGATTATCAATACTTCCTCTAGGTCTCCCTGAGGATTCTCAGGTATTATTACCAGATCATCTGCATAAGCTTGTATAAATTAACATTTTCAATCAACACTTTCAATTTGTTTGTTATTACACTTTTTCATTGCTTACCATTCTTTCATGTAAAGTACAATTACACTTGCAGTTACTTATTTTTTAATTTTACATAACTAAAACAGTTTATTACATTCTACATTTCTTACCATTCTTTCATTTTAAAAGACAATTACTTTTGCAATTACTTATATTAATTTATACATAACTGGAAGTTTATTACATGCTACATTTATTTTCAGTAATCTATTTGTTCTTCATTAGTTCTTCATGCCCAGGCTTCAGTAACTATCTTCTGAGTCTTTCTTTTTCTGCGAAATTCAAAGTCCGAACCTTGCAAGCTCCTCTTCCAGTTTGTAAGCTTGTTCTTGTAGGCTTTCCCAGTTCGTAATTCAGTTAAAGGTAAAGAGTGTGTGCATAGTCCAAATTGTCCTTTTCCCTTGCACGGCTTAATCTCCTGTAACAACCACTCCCTTTTGTCCCACTTACGTTCCCTTGATGCAAGGCGTCTCTCAACCGTCTGCAGCTTTCCACTCAGGAATGTAGCTGGCTGATGATCTTCCTTGTCATCTGCTTGACACAGCACGGCTCTGGGTTCGAATCTGGACACCTCAGCATGGAACTCCTTCCGGGACTCTATGCCTCTCACGATCAGACCGTCCATCACCGCTTCCTTCTGCTTCCCAACAACCTCCTCGCAGTTGCTCGCCCTCTAGATATTTTCAGCTTTCTTTTTATGTACCAGGTTAGCTATAGGACTAGCTATTTCTCTGACCTCTGGCATACTCTTTGGAGTTGCACCTGTTGTATCAATGTGGTGCACTGCTCCCTGTGCTACCCCTGGTTGGTTTGCGAAGATCTGCTTCTGTCTTATCAGCAAGGCTCTCGCTTCTTTGTTTTCTCTAGAGGAAGTACTTCATATCTTTCATTGTCAGCTTCTTTCCTAGCACCTAGGGCCACATTCTCCCTTCTATAATCTGGTTCTATCATGTTTGGTTGAACCTCTTTCTGCCCTGGTTCTCTCTTCTCTTGGGTTATATGATTTCTTTTGTTCATTTTGGAGATTATTTTGTGTGGATCTGACCCATTTAATTGTAACTTT